CCCCTGTAGGGACAGAGCGCATTTTCCTGATCCATCCACCTGATGAACGCTGGGACCGGTTTCTGCTTTCCGCTATCATGCATAACGCTGCTGTGAACGTTCGTGCACACATTTTTGTGTGGACTCATGTTTATACCCAAGAGTGGAAATGCAGGGTCAGCCGGGAACTAAGTCTTTGAGGAACAGCTGAGCTGTTTTGCGTAGCGGCAACACCCTTTTACGTTCCCAATGACTGTGTGCACGAGTTCCCATGTCCCCACGTGCTTGCCAGCACTTGGACTTGGCTTCGTGCTTGTAGCCGTCCTCGTGGGTGTGAGGTGGGGGCGTGTTGTTATGGGGCCCGTGGATGCCCTTGAGGTTTGGGGGGCTGGCATCGGCTCTGCTTGCCTGCGCTGTGGCCTGGCCTCCCTGGGGTGTCCCATGACAACTCTGACGGCTAGCAGTGGGGCTGACAGCCGCAGGGCCTCCCTCCTGCACCTGGGAGGGGCCCTCCACCCCCGTGGGAAGTGGCTGACAGCGCCACGGCGCCTTCCCTGGGCAGGAGGGCTGTGGCCAGAACTGAGGCCTCCCGGGCCAGCTGGAAGGATGGAGAGAGAGGTCCCGCGGTGCCCCTCATGTGGTCCTCGCACTCGTGGCTGGATCCCCTGATGGCAGGACGCAGCGTCATCCCGACAAGTGCTGTGCGTGTACCTCGGGAGCCTGAAGGTCCAGGCTTGGGATCTTCGACCCCGTGGAGAGACCGCCGGCCCCTGCAGGCCACAGAATCGGCCCCCGACCTCCCTACGGGAGGGGATCTCTGCCCCGGACGCTGGCCCGGCGTGTCCCAGCGGCTGGCGGTGGGGAGGAGCCTCTGTCCTGACTTGTCCCCGTGCCCTCCTAATATTCCCTCTCTGGACCAATCCATCACTTTAAGAAGGAAGAAACTGGACTCGAAGAGAAACAAAGCAAGCTCTCCTCGCTCTTGTGATCCGTTGGTTTTTCTGCATAACAGCCAGGTGGCGTGGAAATGAGGGGGTTTCTATGGTAACCAGTTACAGCTCATGATTGGTGAAAAATGACAGAAATATCCTGTATGTGAAGTTATGCTGGGGCAGGCAAGCAAGCACAGGCTGGGGTCTGCGGTTTTAATTTCCTGGGGCAATATTTCTCCAAGTACTGATGGCACTCGGGTTCGCCCGTGGCTGCTCTTCATTCAGCCTGCCTGATGGGGCCAGGTGGGGTCTGATGGGGCCTGGTGGGGTCTGATGGGGCCAGGTGGTACCTGGTGGGGCCAGGTGGGGTCTGATGGGGCCTGGTGGGGTCTGATGGGGCCAGGTGGTACCTGGTGGGGCCTGGTAGTGCTGGGGGACCCAGTGGGACCTGGTTGTGTCTGCTGAGGCCTGATGAGGCCTGTTGAGGTCTGGTGAGGCCTGGCATTGCCTCGTGGGACCGGAGGGGCCTGGTGTTGTCTGGTGGGATCCAGTGAGGTCTGGTGGAAGCTGGTGGGGTCTGGTGTGGCCTGCTGTTGCCTGGTGGTACCTGATGGGGCCTGGGGTGTCCTGGTGGGACCTTGTGGGGCCTCATGGGGCCTGGTGCGATCTGGTGGGATCTGGTGAGGCCTGAGGTTACCTGGTGACCTTGTGGGGCCTCATGGGGCCTGGTGGGACCTGGTGTTGCCTAGTAGGACCTGGTGGGACCTAGTGTTTCCTTGTGGGGCCTGGTGTTTCTTGGTGTCTCCTGGCGGGGCCTGGTGTTGCCTGGTAGGACCTGGTGGGGCCTAGTAGGGCCTTCTGGGCTGAGCACCGCTCTTGCTTAAAGAAGTGTCCCACTTCCTGGGGGCTGGGCTCCCATCCAAACATGCAGAGTGGTGGGAGAACCAGAGGGTCTAAACCATCCATCCTCACTGAACCACCTGTGGCCACAGGAGCCGTGCCTTCTGTGGGCATGGGGATGTTTCGCACTGACCTAAATTTCTGTGTGGGGTGACAGAGGCCCTGGTCCCTGCACAGAGCTTGGCGGGCTGTGCAGAGAAATTGCACACCGGCAGAAACTCGGTGCAGAGGCATTAGCATAATGAGCGATTCCTAATTTCTGCAGCAAAGCACTTTCATTCTGATTAAAAAACTGGGCCCTTTTTATTTGGGGATTAGTCCTTTTCGGTAATTAGCACTCATTAATACAAGTTTCTTCCTTTCCACATCCTGATGACAGGCAGGGAGCGGCACGTGCCTAACTACCCACCAGAGAAGAGGCGGCCCCGGGCACGTGGGGCTCAGTGCAGAATGAGGGGGGGCTCACACACAGACACGTGCACACACACGTGCACCGACATGCAGACCCCACACTCGGCCACACCTGCACGTGCACACACATATGCATATGTGACACACAGACCGCCTCACAACAGACTCACACTCTTGCACACTCACTGACACACTCACATACACACCGACATGCAGACCCCACACTCGGCCACACCCGCAC